TGAGTAGGTGTTTAAAAAAACAAATTAATAATATTAGATAATTATTCCAGTTTCGCATATTTTTTCAAATATATTTGAATATTGCCGAAGTATGTAAAATCTCCCAATAAAAACACATTCCTATTGAGTATTCGTAATTCCTCGAAAACAAGTAGATATGAAAATTATTTCGTTAAACCTTTCAAGGGAGGTGAACATCAAACACTACTAACTCAACTTCCTTCTAAGAATAGTATTCCCGTTGTTGACATTTGAATCTTAAGAATTCTTTACCATATATCTGGCTGAACCTTGTTACCGCTGGAATAAATAAATCATCCGCTTCTATTTTTATCTTTGATTTCCTCTAAAACCAAACCGTTCATACAATAAAGCACAATGATAACAAACTTATTTATGTTACGCTTTCAATGTCATGATTCCGGAAACAAATTACTAGATTTTTTCCTCGAAGGAATATAATATGAATATACGGATATCATCTGATAATTAAGGTACATGTATAATAAAGGAAGTTTTGTTTCTGGTCCTCTAGATGAGTCAAGATACAATGGTTACTCACGAATATACAGAAATTAGCACGTCTTATATTTTACGATATGTACCAAGCTGGTTAATCACTGATGTGCATTCAATGGTGAATCCTTCCATTTGAAACATACTTATTGGATTACCATTGGTTGATTAAAAATGTGCATTGAATATCGCGAACTGAACTAACTTGGCTATGTACATTTGATAATACTCGCAAAGGTGCGTATCCCAAATGATTCTTCCCTGATAAGTTATACAACTTTAATGTAACTCATTCTCTAATTGTGAAACTGAAGTTGACAAGATGTGAAAACGATAATATTTCTTAAACACTACTGCCTTGATGTCAGGATGATAATTATATTTTGTACCTCATAACATGTTGAAAAGTCGTCGTAGTTCAAGGTATTTGCGTTGCCAGAATGAATAAAACCTACCGTTTCTTCGAGCAGTGGATCGTAGAATGGCTATAAAACCTAGTGAAGTTAACTTTTGTAACAGAATTTGCTTCAGAAATCTAAATTTTTTGTGAAGATGCATATGATCCATCTCTGGCGTTAGTCTTGAACCTCTTGCATTTTTAATTTTACACAGCGAACAATGACGTATTTTTGAATAGAATAGAAAAGAATAGAAATTTATTTATACTGAACAACAAACAGAATGGTTTCCACTTACAAAATGTACAGTTTTTTCAAAAGTTCCGTAAAAAGATTCAGAAACATTTGAGCATTCGGAGGAGTTGTCCCTCTGTAATACTGAATATATCCAGTTGAAAGTTCCTCACCATTTTGTTAACTGTTTCGAGACATTGTTGAAGCGGAGACAAATTGTTTGAGATACGAAATAGATTGTCTCTTCTTCTCAGTCTTACGTCAGGTACAATAAAATCAATATTATAGAGAATTTCAGGTACTTTCAGTTTTCTAAGAATGACTCATTATTTTGCATTTAGCTTCGTTGAGAGATAGGTCAGATACTGAAAAGTAAGTAGATAGATTATTGAGATCATCTTGAAGCATATCAGAATCTGTTTCGCTTTCAATTCTTCTGAACAGCTTGAGATCATCGGCATATGGGAGAATTGAGAATGCCCGATATACCCAAAATCGAGCCCTGCGGAACTCCCGAAGTAGCGGTGAATTAGAAGGAAGATACGTTGTTAAACTGTACGAACTGTATTCTGTTGGATAGATAGCAGTGAAAGAAATCAAGTGTTTTGTTTGTGAAACCGAATGCTTTTAATTTCAGGATCAAAACCTCTGTCGAATGCCTTGGCCAGGTCAGTGTATATAACGTCTATTTGATAGCCATATTTTATTTCATCCGTAACAAAGTTACTAAATGCGCATACATTGGTAATGGTAGATTTATTACGAATAAAGCCATGCTGTTGGTCGATTATTACTGAGTCCACGTGATTGTATACTCGATTATATATTACCCGTTCAAATATCTTCGACAAAGCTGGAAAGACTGTTATAGGTCTGTAGTTTCTTACATTGTTTTTATTGCCGTTTTTGTGTATGGGGGTAACTTTGCCAATTTTGAGAAAGCTTGGAAAACGATTTTCTTTCAGAGAAAGATTGAATATCAATGTCAGTGTTTACTTTAACAAGTCACAGTAAGCCTTGAAAAAGTAGGCTGGAATGCCATCGATTTCAATGGCTACTTTGGGTTTCAGTGTCTTTAACATTTTCAACCTCTTGTTCCTTAATATCACCAATTTCAACGATGTCTAGGTCGTACTCAGGAACTAGTGTGGGGTTTACCGCCACACCGCTATTCGTGAAAGGTAATTTGAAGAAAGTAGCAAAACCGTCTGCAATATCCTTATTATTGAATAATTCATCATTATCATAAGTGAATCTGTTAGCAACCTTCCTTGATATAAGCCCAGAATTTTTTGGGATCGCTCTGTAAGTCTCCCTCTATTTCTTTTATATAGGATTCATAACACAAATTATGCGAACGTTTCACATCCATTCTGAGTTCGTTGTATTTTTCTTTATAATAATAATATTTTTTGACTTTTTTTTCATCATTTTGAAAAAGTGTTCTTTTAATTTAATTTTGTGCATGAGTTCTTTTGAGAACCGTGCGGGAAATCGATTCTGGATGAAAGTATTTTTTTTTCAAGCATTTCTCAAAAACGGCCTTCAGGCAAACATAGAAACTATTTACACATTCGTCGACATTATCCATACATAGAATATCTATCCACGAAAGTTGAGATTAACGTGCTCACCTTCGGACGATTCGGTTACAGTGAACATTATTTCGAGAGCTGGATGGTAGTTATCCAACCCCACTAAGGGCGTTTCACATTCGCTCACAATCGCTTCCGTGATATTTGTTAATATTAAGTCTAAAGTATTGGAGCCATTAGATATATCATTTATGGAATATATATCAAGCTCACACATGATGGAATGGATTAATCTCGCTTTTGATGATCCGTTTCTCAAGTTATATTTCGAATTAGTTATTTCAGAGACATTGAAGTCACCCACTAACAACAACTTTTCGGTGGCGTTAAGCTAATTCTCTCCCGATACTTTTGTCAACTGTTTTTTTGGGGCATCATTTAGGTTGCTCACTTCAGATTTCAATAATTCTTTTACCGTGTTTTTGAATACGTTCACTTATGACTGCATATCGAAAACCATTTGATTTGTTTCACCAACAATGTCTTCAATTTGTTTCTTGAGACATTCCATTACAATTTTCATAACGTAGTCCGTGATGAATGTTTAGACTTCTTTTCGATCGAAAATATCAATTGGGATAGCTTTATTGTCGCCGGAACTTCTAGTTTTTGATCCCATGATGGCACTAATTTGCTATACACACTTTCTTTGATATACCGACAGATGCAAACACGTTCGTTCGCTAGGACGGTCACTTGTGCTTGAAGCACAAGTATTTCTTTTCATGACTTTTCAAAAGAGTTTATCTATTCAGTCAGACATTTTTCATAACTATAATATACCTGCAAGTGACATGAGTATTCCCAAAAATGAGTTCTGCTTCATAAATCGACCACAGCCAAGTCGTCGACATGAAATAAACTAGTAAGTTTCTCACATATTCATGGAAAGTTTTTTACATTAAGGTAAGTAGTAAGGGGTTACAACGTAAGTTTTTTTATTTATAGGATGACCATACCACAAAAAATCTATGAGAATCTCTGTCGCAAGGATAAAGTCCATATTTCAGAAAAACCTTGATGTCAGCAATAATTCCAATATCTATTCAAAGGTTCAATACCACGTTCAACACAGTCATTGTGAATATATTTCCGCTTTGTCCTATTGTACTTCGTTAATTTCAAGTCTCTATTCAACTTTGGCGACACACCATTATAATTCGAGTCTTTTTCGACATTGCGATTTGCCCCTGATAAAACCGATCTGATGTCACTCGAGCTTTCATAAAATATTTTTTCACAAAGTACACAATTGTCTGCTCAACCATTGACATATCATCGGAAATACCTATTCTTTCAAGATTCCAAACAGTTTTAAAATCAACATTATTATCATCAATTTGAACATGAAAAGCTGATGCAACATTAAAATTTGCAGAATGATAATCTTCGTTATTAACTCCTTGAAATGTATTACCAAAACTGCCGTTGAACTTCCAGAAAGACGTTCTTATACTCCAGTTACCATTTTCCAGATATAGTCGATTCTTATCGACAACGTTATGTCATCCAAATTTATATGATTTTGCGAATTAACGGTAATATCTAGTATTTGAGAGTGCTAGAAAATTTAGATGACAGCTAACTCATTAACTGAAAGTGCACCGAAACGAAACATATCACAGGGAAACAAATGTAATATTTCGTATAAATTTCAATACAAAATGTTATTTTGAAATTTTCATTGTTTTATGAACTGTATTTCGATACAGTTCATATCGCATCGAATCTTTTGTCGATTTAAACAATTAAGAGTAAAGGAATCAATAATAAAAAACCATTCAGTCACTGAAGTTGATTGAAAATATAATCACAAGTTAGTACATACTTACATTATGCTGAATATTGTATGGATATGAGATTTGATCACTCAATACAGACAATATTGAAAATGACTTCACATATTTTGAATATAATTTTTTAAGGATTTTTTACGGACCTCAAGAATCGAAGACGCCTAAGAAAACTCAATTTTTTATCATGATCGATCATGTTGAGTTAGTTACTTTCATACACAGTTATCATAAATTATGTTTAAATATCGGTGATTTGAGTTTTCAGAATGAATATCAATTATTATTTGTATACCATGAAAGTCTTTCGAGAAGGATTGTTGAAGTTGCAAAATTTCATCGAAAATGGTAAAAGATACAAAACATAACTGTTTTGTGAAAAATTACTTACGAAACTCATATATTTTAATGTTACTAACGAAAAATAAATTACATCAAGTACTAATACTTTTTAATTGTTATAGATCATCGGCAATACCCCACAAAGGTGGCAGCAGTATCCCTTTGCCTGGTTCTGCTATACCTGCTCGAAGATGTCCTCCAGATAAAGTGAGACCAGTTGCAAGTAGCAGCAGAAGTTCTAGTCCTGCGCTGTCAATGATACCACGAGCACCACCAACGCAAATCGCCAGCCCTTATCAAAGCAGCGGACACACTCAAAAAAATTCTATGTTAGACAAGCTCAAATTATTCAAAAATAACGATAAACCAGCTCCAGTAGCCAATGGTAAAAGAACCAGCAGTTCAAGTGGAGTATCATCAGCAAGGAGTGAACGTAGCGATTCCAGTGTGAGCTTAGAACCTAACTTAGACTTGAAACCGGTACGTAATACATCTAGACTGAAACAAACTCGTCCTGGTAAGCCCACTCAGTCGAAAAATAGCCCAAACTCAACGAAAAAAGAAATCCCAGTTAATAAAACCAACAAAACTGCTATAGATGTGGAAAAACATGCACACAAAGTTGCCAATCTTTCTGCTACTAAACTCACTGAACCAAAAGTTAGAGTTACCATAAACAAAGATAGTTCCATAAAAAGCAATCATCTACCTCTCCACCCTCCGGCTGCTCAGCCCTCGCCTGGTACTTGCATACCGAAGCCCACAGCAGCCGTAAAAGGTACCAGTAAAATTTCAAGGGATACCAGTACCCACTCATTCAAGTTACCCAATAGTACGGGAGTATCAAGAGAAAGCTCTCAAGTATCTTTGAAGCAGCATAAACCAGCTATTGCCCTTGTTTCCCCTATTAAAAATGAAAAGGAATCCACCCAACTTTCTGAAAGTAGTCACAGTGCCAGTACTGGTCACCACAGCAATTCTAGCGAAAGTTCCGTCATATACAAACCTTCCAGTGAAAGTGGTTCTGAACACCACAATGTCATTCCAAATAGAAAAGATCCAGTCACTTATATCACTGCGGTTACAGACCAATCCCCACCTCCACCCGCTCCACAGACTCCAAAGGAGACAATCAAACATATCGATAAAACGCAAAATAATTGCAGTGCTGATAAAGAAACCAAAAACATATCGTATAATAACATAGTTAACGAGAAATTAGACTTGTCGAAGGAGATTGATAAAGTTGCTGAAAACCATATCAGAGACATCAACTTAGAGGAGAAAGAAGAAAATAATATACTTTCTATTGAACCGATGAGGCCTTTACTTAGAGGTTACTGTAGCACGTTCACTTTACCTTCGAGGCCAAGACAGTACCAGAGAGTACAACCTGATGGGGGATCTGACTATTGCGAAATTTCTCTTGCTAACGGATACATGTCGGATGGCGAAATGTTGAGAAATACTCAAGCGATAGATATAGGAGATGGATATATGTCAGAAGGAGGGTCCGTTCTGTATGCCAGAAGATTGCAGACGATGCCAGCTCACATGTCTAATGGGTAAGTCAAATTCACTAATTGACCTTTTCGGTAATTTCAGCTTTCCAAATGTTTTTCAATGTACAAAAATTGTTATCCGAAATGTTGTAACGTTTTAGCTAACTTTCGAAAAAAATTCTCATTGTTGTATTCTTTCATGAAATAATTCCCTATACTTTTTTTGTGCGGCCCCGTGAATTTATGTTTTGTTCGATGAACAATCGGTGCATATTTGTTTTTTTCTCACATACATAGAACACTGGTGAAGGGAAAGTCACTAATATGATATAACAACAAGTAACAAGTGATATTTTTTATAGTTTTCACAGGGCTACCACGCAATTTGAATAAACGTGATATTTTCAACAAATCTCACTTCTAAGGCCAATATCAATTTTTTTTTCGTGTCAATTGAAATGATGAAATCATTTCCAACTTCTCAGTTCAATTTTTTGTTAAACAGACTCAATACTGAATATATCTATCTGATATTCAGTTAATTGGGTAATACTAAATCAAAGAAAAATTATTTTTCGATAAGAAATATCTGAAAAATGTATTGCTTTGTGTGATTCAAATCACTAGCGTATAAATCTCCTTATTATACAATAGTTTCACAATATACTCTTAACCCAATTCTTTCCGACCACGTCGAATGTATACATTCTTCATACTCATAACTTGTTATCGATTCTGTATAATATAAAGGGTTTTTCAATTGGCGCGGGTAGATTTTGGCGGCCCGTGGCGGCCATTTTGTTTTGGTGACATCTGTCAAATCTTTTGTTTATTATTCAGTTGTTTATGCCAAATCATCATGGCAAATTACACGATTAAACAGCACGTTCAAATGATAAAACTGTATTATCAAAATAAGTGTTCGTAAACGCAAACGGTGCGCGCATTGCGTCCATTTTACGGTAGACGTGGTGGCCCTTCACAATCGACTCTCCAACGTTTGGTGGCCAAATTTGAGACGACCGGTTCAGTAAACAATCAGCCAACACCCGTACGTTAAAGGAACGGAAGATCGGCCGAGAACATCGCCGTGGTCCGTGAAAGTGTACAGCAGAACCCGAGGCAGGCTATTCCTCGCCGTGCACAAGAACTCGGCCTTTCGCAGACTTCAACTTGGCGAATTTTGCGTCGGGACTTGGGCCTACACCCGTACAAGATCGAAGATTTTTGGATGAATGGCTGTGTTAACAAGCAAAATTGCCGTATACAGGCCGACACCAACCCACGCGAGGTTCATCAGGTGATAATGCATCCTCAAAAAGTTACCGTTTCGTGTGGATTTTGGGCCGGCGGCGTAATTGGTCCGTACTTTTTTGAAAACGACATTAGTGAGGCGGTCACCGTCAACAGCGAGCGCTGCAGAACGATGATAACTAATTTCTTATGGCCCAAATTGAACCATATGGACCTAGACGACATGTGGTTCCAGCAGGACGGCGCTACGTGCCACACAGCAAACGCCACGATTGACATTTTGCATGAACGATTTGAGGGTAAGGTTATCTCTCGAGGGGTGATGTGAATTGGCCACCAAGGTCATGCGATTTGACCCCGCTAGACTTTTTCCTGTGGGGTTTCTTGAAGTCGCAGGTCTATGCAAATAAACCACAATCGACCGATGCCCTGAAGGTGAACATAACACAGGCCATCGCTCAAATTCAGCCGGATCTATGCGGAAGAGTCATTGAAAATTGGACCACTCGGATCCGTGCCACCGTAATAAGCCAAGGCGGGCATTTGAATGATGTCATATTCCACACTTAATGACATACATGCGCCTTTCAAATAAACAAATTATTTTGTTAATACCTCACACACAGCTTGATTTATTCCATTTCAACATCTACCCGCCCTTATTGAAAAACCCTTTATGTTGACATTTCTTGTGTATGTTTTCCTATTCTCTCTCCTATCTTTGGAAGACATATTATTGTGGAGAAGTCAATGTTTCTTACTATATTTGTGTATTTGTGCGAATTGAGATAAAAGTTAATGACTCACTTGTCAAAAACAGTGAAAAGACGAAGTTCCTTGGAATCATTATAGATGAGAACCTCGACTGGAGGAGACACCGTCGAAGCATCAAAAGCAAAATGAATTTCTCTTGGATATATGTTCAGAACTCTAAAACCAGTACTAAAAAGTACTCAAATACTAATGTTGTATCACAGCTTGGCAGCTTCTACTATAAGATATGGTATATGTTCAATGATGTATTCAAGGCACAGAAAAAGCTAATTAGAATAATTGCTGGAAAGAAAAGAAATGTATCATGCAGACCAATTTTCAAAGAATTAGGTGTTCTCACTCTGCCATGTCTACTTAGTTTGGAATCATGTTTGTACATATTCAATAACAAGAATACTTTCATGAAAATCAGAGATATACACTCAAAAAAAACTAGGCAAACAAATGATTACGATGAGCCCATTTGTAAATACAAAGTGACAACTAATGCTCCTTTACACCTAGGCCTGAAACTTTTTAATAAACTTCCCTGTGATATAAAACACAAATCAGGCAACACACTTAAATTCAAAAAACATCTAGAGAATATTCTATTAGAAAAGTGCTTTTACTCACTAGCTGAGTTTTACGATGAATACTCTAACAGTTATTGCTTTTGTGCATAAGCCGATGATTAACCTTTATTTTTCAGTTTATTCGCTATTTCATTATTTTTCCAACTCACAGAAATTTCGATGTTTGATTGGTCGATTTCATATCCTCTTATTCGTTCGTTGAAACATTAACCGATTTATGTGACAACCGTTATTATACATATTTCATTGTTGTATATATGTTTCTAATTAGTATCTCCTTGTTTAATATTTCATCTCTGATCTTTCTTCCACGACTTATCTAAATATTTTGGTCCTCTATCATTTTCAAATTTTCAAAATTTATTGTATAATATGTATACTACATTGAAATGAAATTCTTCAATCAATGCTGTTCACGAGTACAAATTCAATTAAACGACTCATTCTCCCGCAAGCCCATGCATTTCATACAATTAGTCTTTGTTGAGCAATTTCCACAGAGATCTAATTTTACATTGAAACAAATGAACCGAAATCCTATTTCATTCTGTCAACTGAAGTATTCCAAACGAGATTCGGTGCTCCAACAAATTAGTTCGAAGATTCCAAATTAGAATGGAACACGGGAAAATAAAAGTGTATTTGTATCCCACAACCTTTTATTATTCGCTTCAGTTCCCGTATTCGTTGAAAATGTATTGACAACCTCACAACATTATAATTTGAATTTTTATAGTTTTTATACTTTCATGAAAAGGCCGTTTCAACTGAAATACTTTCAGTTTCGGAACATTTTTTGCTATGTCAAATTTTAACATCCCCAGCACGTTTAATTTTTTATTTGATGTGACTTGAACTGGAGGAGAATGTTTTCAGCTTTCTATTTCTTTGTCCATATACAGTATGTCTCAGTAAGTTGCAACCATATGGAAAATTTGTTTAGTATTGATTTCAGTAAAAAAAGTCATTTTTGTAATAGGTATTGAAGAACTAGAACTTGAATGCAACCATCGGTTATCAAATTATTACATTTGACCAAAATTATGAAACTTTTGATCAGCATCAAAAAATTACTTTCAAATGTGCAATTCACTCTACAATAACAACGTTATTGAGTGTAATCATTGTACATGTGATCTAGGATGCACTGACAAAAAATGTTTCATAATGATTGTGAAAACTCGTAAAAGTTTATGAAATACGTAAAACATATTTATATTCATTTGGACAATTAGAATCCGTGCCACCGTAAGAAGCCGAGGCGGGCATTTGAATGATGTCATATTCCACACTTAATGATATACATGCGCCTTTCAAATAAAACAATAATTTTGTTAATACCTCACACACAGCTTGATTTATTCCATTTCCACATCTACCCGCCCTTATTGAAAAACCCTTTATATTGACTTAGATCAGTTTGACATTTCTTGTGTATGTTCTCCTATTCTCTCTCCTATCTTTGGAAGACATATTATTGTGGAAAAGTCAATGTTTCTTACTATATTTGTGTATTTGTGCGAATTGAGATAAAAGTTAATGACTCACTTGTCAAAAACAGTGAAAAGACGAAGTTCCTTAAAAAAACCTCATAGACGACTGGAAGAACTTGTTAACAGATGGTTGAATTTTGGGTTTCAGTTCTTGGTAAACTTTTGATTAAGGATGACTTTTTTCCTAAAATCAATAATAAAAAGAGTTTTCCATATGACTCCAACTTACTGAGACATACTGTATGCATGAAAAATTACTTTAAAAAATAATGAAAGAATCAATATAAGCTTTTAGGTTGATATGTAATTCTAGTTACCCTAGTTATTAGTTTTGAGAATTTTGAAGAAAATACAAAATGACTTTAGTTCGTAGTTGATTGCTGTCAGAATCATCATAACTCAATAATGAAAGAATAATTCAAGATAATCGAAATCTTATAATTCTCAAAAAATGAATTGTATATCCGATGTATTATCCTGAAAATAAATGTGATTGGAAATTCCAAAACTATAGAAAGAAACATTGATGAACAAGAACGGATGAGACATGAATTTCAAAGAATTGAAAACTTGATTTCTACAAAATCCATATTTATATCATACTAGCTGCTTCACGCAACTTCGTTCGTATATACTTCAGATTTTGGGTTCAAATATTTTCAATCGTGGTTTTAGAAACGAGATTCCTTGAAATGATAACCATAATACACTAGCGAAAACCATAAATCGGTTGAACCGTTTTCGAAATTGGCGTGCACAAGCTCGAATAACAGATAAGAATTGTTTTGGATTCTAATGTGTTCATAAAGGCCCGCCAATGATAATTTTTGTCAAATATTTTTCATGTACAGACAATGATCTATACATTATGGAATGTATAGATTATTATTCCCATCACAACCCATGAAAAATTAAATTAAGCATCAACGAAACGATATTCAACCATAAATATCAACATAGAACCAAT